AATCAAAGAGCTGCAACCCATCATAAAACAGGAGGAAACACTAAAGAAATCTTCCAGCAACCCCAATGCAGGCCTTCAGGCAACCACCCAACCTCAGACATAAATTAATCAGCAGGAAACTTCATGCTGATTACAGGGACACAAACAAGGGAACAAAACTTAGCAGCAACAAATGCTGCAAACTGTACAGCCACATCAATCCATTAAAAAGGGTCACACACACAAAAGGAACCTTTAATATTACAAAATCATACAGCTGCACCTCAAGCAATGTGGTGTACCTCATTCAATGTAGTAAGTGCAACCAAGTATGTTACATTGGTGAAACAGGAATCACAAAAAAAGAATGAATTTATATAGACACACCATAAGGGAACACAAGGAAGATGATTACTGCACACCCATGGGATATCACTTCTCACAACTTGACCATTCTATGGAAGACATGAATGTTTTGGTTCTTAAGGGAAATTTAAAAAACACTCAGGAAAGGAAAACTTTTGAACTATGAATGATAATTCTGCTTAGCACAACAGATAAGGGACTGAATATCGACCTTGGTTTTCTAAATCACTATCAAATTGTTTTATTATGATTTTCACCTCTGTGACTCTCCCTCCTCCTTCTCATTCCATTGCCTAGGGTTGCACAGATACCAAGTACAGTACTCGGTACAAGTACGAGTACATGTACCGTTACTTTTGAGCTCAAAGACTAGACTAGAGAAAAATTCAAAAATTAGAAGGCCGCTGTCATTTGTAAGGAGCACACGGAGCTCCTGGGATTTCTATATCTCTGTTTTATTGTTCGATTTTGTTTTTATAAATATAAATAAAGGGATGCACAGATACCAGTTTTGCAAGTACGAGTACTGGTACTTGCCGAGTACTTACAAGTACAGGTACTGATACATTTTTGTTTATTGTCAAGTGACAGTTTTTCTAAAACAATACAGACTAACGATTTCAGGACAGTGGTGGAATGCCAGAGCCCGGTCCCAGCTGCAACCGCTGCAACCCTGGTAGTTCTCATGAAAATGACAAGTATCTGCACTGGTACTCGAAAATTATCTGTGCATCCCTACCATTGCCCATTTATTTACTCCTTATCTGACAACTTTCTTGCTTTTATTACCATGTCTCTGTCTTTTTTTTCCCCAAAGATTGTTGTCTTGCATTTTTCTGCTTAATGTTTTACTAAACCTTTTTGTATCAGTTAACGCTTAGACCTTAAAAGAAGGGGGTTGGCCCCATAAACTTGTTATGAAAATGTGACTGCTAGTACAAATAAAAAAAAGTATCATGGACAGTACTCAACAGTGCTCTAGAATCAGAGAAATGCTAGCACTTGTTAACAAATAGAATGGGATGAATACTTTAATTTTGTTTAATGGCTACAATCTTCTATTAGATTCCATATATGTATTTTTTACCCGTTTACCACTTAAGACTTGCAATGCATTCTGTGCCATGTCTTTAGTGTACCTAAAGTCTCCAATGAAAAAAGTCATATATACCATCCTAAGAGACCGTAACATACAGGGGTATGGGTACACTTAAATACTAGACCACACATGGACTCTTATATACACGCACGCACAACACACACACACAAAGGTTGAACTTGATGGACCTGTGTCTTTTTTCAACCTCAAATACTATGTAACTATGTATACCCAAGAAACCAAGAAAACCATCTGTTAAATGGATCTGATTTGATAGATACTAAATAAAACAGGGATATTGATCTCTGGAAAAGCTATGAAGAAAAGTGCAGATATCTGTCCACTTTGCCATACAGCGTATAGCTGGGAAAGACATTATTTATAGCTAAAAAAAAACCTGGTTTATTTTGGCATAATTTATGATTTTTATGTTTTGTTCTTTCTTTATTTTCCCTTAAAATGAACTATATGGCCGATACAAAGTTTGAAAATAAAAGGCGTAGTTTGATTAGTTAGAGATATAGGAGAGAAGAAGCATCACACCAAAGGCTAAAGTTAAAATATTTCTCTTGCATTTCTGTCCGATCAGAGGCTTCTTTGTACATGAGAGCAACGTAACCTGAGTAGGCCTTTTAATATGGGATGCAAAATGTTTAATTCATATAGTGCTGTCTGCATTTGCAGCTCAATGCCTGATTTAGTTTGGGGGGAAATAGAATTACATGTTGGACAGAGGGTCGTGTCAGCTAATTGAGCAGATGCTTGCAAACGATTGGTATTCCCATGCATAAAAAAAAGATAATATATATCATGGAAACTCAATGGTCAATTGCAGTATCACTCCTTTTAGATAATGAATTTATGTGTTCTATATTATTCAAGTCAATTTCCAGTGAATTGATATTAAGTGGCTGCTGGATTGAAATGGTAGTTACTCAACTGTGTATCAGTATGACTTATAAGACCTTTATCATCACTGGCTTTTTTCCCAGAATTTCCTTTTGGCCTCTACTTAGCTGTAACTATATTTATTTTAGTACTTTATTACTCTGTATATCTTATTATTTCTTAGACTACAACATGCTTATTGTTCAAAGTCCAATTGCTTGCATCCACTGCATGTAAATATGTCCAATATTAATCAAAATATGTGCATGTTTTTCAGAGGGTTATAAATGACAGTCTCTGTGTATTTAGAATCTGTAGAAGTGGAAAATTAGTTTGTTGGTAAAAAGCCAGATTATGTTTGCAAGCTGTAGAAAAAAATGCTGAAAGATGTTGAATTCTTATTCACCCAGGTTGCAAGTCATATTCAGGTTCAAACAATACTTCTACCACACAATATTTTCTATAATATAACTACAAATATATCTTGCTTCTACCCAGACAGCAAGACATTGTGCTGCAAGTTTGAAAATGACTTGCTAAACTATTACAGACTTGCCAAGCTTCACAATTTTGTTGCACAATTACAGCAAGTCTGCATTGCAAGTCTCCAGACCAGCGAGCTTGCAGAGCTCTTGCTAAGACCTGCAGGACTCTTGCTGTAGACTTGCCAAGCAAATTTGCTACAAGTTCAAAAAGTGTCAACTAGAACTTGTGCTGCGAGTGTTCTGCAAGTCTACAACTACAATATGTGCAGCAAGTTAACAAAATTACAATTTCACCCCGCCACAAGTTTGTAGCAAGTTATCCTTGCTATCTGGGTAACTGTTCATTATTTATCTTAACTTACTGAAATATATAGTAACTTATTGCTGGCTAGGCAGTATGACATATGTATATGAACATTGATGCTGGCAGATCTGGATTACAAATTCTGTGGAAGGTAAAAAAAGTTCATATACTGTATATATACATATATTATGGAAAATTGTTATCAGATACTTACAGTAATTTTCATTTCCTGGCTCATCCTCATGTCAGCAAATTGCAGGTCAACTCCACCCCCTTGACCCCTCCCAGGACCACCTCTAACAAAGCACATAAAAGAGCACAATGACCCCCCACCAAATGTTCTATATAAAGCTAGTGGAAGGCCATTTGGGTGGGATGTAATGCTGACACGAGGATGAGCCAGGAAATGAAAATTACCGTAAGTATCTGATAACAATTTTCTATATTCCCGGCTCAACTCATTGAAGCATAGTGCAGGACATAGCAAGCTAATACTAAGGGATAGTTAAGAAAAAACTAACACTGAAATATGCTGCACAAAAACAAAAAAAATAATGGTTCAAAGCTGCAGACAGTACAGAGGCACCAAAGTACGCAAAACGAGTAGAAGCAATATCCTACTTGTAATGCTTAACAAAAAGTGTTTGAAGAACTACATATATCCTCCACTGACACCTTAGCAAACCATGCCCACAAAGATGATAGTCCCCTAGTTGAGTGAGGACATAGTCCCCTAGTTGAGTGAGGACATAGGGAAAACCTAGAACATGCAAGTATAACAAATAAATGTGCTCCCGGTGAAAGCCAACTTCCCCATTAAGTGCAGCAGAACCCCTAAGAAGCACTCACCCAGCAAAGTGATGATTAAAATTAAATTCCCACCGGCCGAACACCAGCTAGTATAACATGCACCTGTGCCTGCACCACAGAGAAATGGATGAAGAGGTAACGGAGGGACAGAATACACAAAAACAGGAACTAAAACCACTTGCCCACCAGAATGTGCACAGAAATTTCTCCTATGATAAGGTTTGCCCTGCACTATGGGCACCCGGCATCAAGAAGCTTTACAACCAACAGCCGGGTCTTCCAAACCAGGAGAGGCTGACGGCCACAATTTGCACGTTCAGACCCAGATTTTCAGCTGACAGTCCAGTCTTTAAACACTTTAACAACAGCTGCTCTTGAACACCTACTGCCGTGGTAAACAACCTGCTTCCCTATTTATAATGGTCTGGCCATCTAGCAACTTCAGCGCGAAATTATAGCTAATTAGCCTACAAACGTCAGGTGGTCATAATAATCTGGCCACTCAGTGTATATAAACATATCGATTTCAACCATGTATTAATACAGAATCCAGCTTTAAACCTGGAATCCGGGATAAGAAAATATTGTCTAAATAAAAGAAGCATGTGTATTTTTACTGGAATTTTGTTGTCCTTTGTGTGTACCTTCCAGATTGGCACAGCAACCCAGCTTAAAACAGCTTCAGCACTTTGTACTGTGCGGGAGTTTCTTTTAATTGCTCAGTGTTGTTCTGTCTCCTAGTGCACCATAAAAGGGTGACTGGTCTTGTACCCCCCTACCCCATAGTTTTCTATAGTCAGCCTGTAGTGAGTGATCTGTTGGGTGCCTCCCATAGCTCTGATATGTGTAAATATGGGTTTGAAAAAGCATTTAGTGCACTCAGCATGGATCTGTATCCTTTGTAACTATTGAGAAATATGTGTCAATGCCTGGAGTTCAGCTTCAAATAAACATTCCATGCATAGCTATCATCATAGCACCATATGTATTATATACAGTATATTGTATTCTCATCTTTTTTTAAGAATAAATTAATGCTATGTCAATAATGGAGTATTTTTGTTTTTAGGCCCGACAAATCATCACAGCCAGTCAACACTTCGGCCTCCTCTTCCTCCTCCTCACAATCATACACTGTCGCACCACCACTCTTCAGCCAACTCCCTCAATAAGAACTCTCTGACTAACAGACGGAACCATATTCATGCACCAGCTCCACCTCCTAATGACCTGGCCACAACTCCAGAGTCAGTTCAGCTTCAGGACAGCTGGGTACTCAACAGCAATGTTCCACTGGAGACCAGGTACAGTGATCTTCATAGAATTAGGACCCTGTACTATCTGATCTAGCTTGACATCACTAGTTGTAAGCACATTGTGTGCAATATTCTTAGCACACCTTATTATGTTGTATCAAGACTAAACTATAACAGTGGCAACAACTTATGAACATATTTTTTTCACTATCTTGAACATTCTTTGTGTGAATATCTGTAGTAAAAGTAGTAAATCTTTTCTACTATTAATCTGTTTATTTTTGTGTGAGCATACATTTACAAGTACACAATTATATTTAATTTGTCATAGTACAACATTGTCTAGTGATCTTGCCATTTTCGATCTATTGTAATTTAGTGCAGTTCATTTTCTGATATGAAAATGCAGTATTGGATATAATATAAGTTAATATACTACATTTGAAATGTGCATTTAGCTCCTGCATAAAAAACCCAGCTGCACCATAAACTTTTATAATTTTTTTGTTTGTTTTGTATAGAGTGTGGAATGTTTGCTAGTTGTTTATCTAGCTAGTACAATGATAGCTTTTTATTGACCCTGTTAGAGGAGATTTAACCAAATAGCATGTTCCTGTAATAAGACAAGCATAGGAAGTGAAGGGATATTTCACTGATGGGGACACAGATAAGAACAAAATTGCATTTGGTTAGTAAGGGAGATGATCAGGTTTGCAGCTACCATGAACTCAAGTGATTCATGATTCACAGACCAGGCAAATGTATGTGCAGATTTGCACAGGGCAATTCTTTTAAACTGTAATATAGGGATGTTCAGATACCAAGTACCATACTCGGCACAAGTACAAGTATATGAACAGATACTTTTCCAGCTCCAAAACTAGACTAGAGAAAAACTCAAAAGTTAGGAGGCAGCTGTCATTTTTAAGGCTCCTGAGATTTGTGCATCCCTGTTTTAATGTATGATTTTTATATATAAATATACTGTATATTAGGGATGCATCAATACCCTTTTTTCAGCTACAAGTACTGATACTTGTCCAAGTACTCACAGATACAAGTACTGATAATTTTTTTGTTTATTGTCATATGACAATTTTTCTAAAACAATACAGACTAATGATTTTAGGACAGTAGTGGAGCACCAGAGCTAGGTCCCAGTTGCAACAGCTGCAACCCTGGTAGTTCTCGTGAAAATGCCAAGTATCAGCACTGGTATCTGAACATCCCCACTGTAATACACTGCATGAACTAAGGCCAGCAGGCTTAGGAAGGGCCAATAATGGGTCTTTGGTTAAGCCAACCCCTTCACTATAAAAGGCAGGAGACACAGATCAGCAAACTGTTAGTAAATTGAAAGCTGCTGCAGGAAAAATTGACAAACTGCATAGGGAAAGATTAGAGTCAATAAAGAAACTGCCTTCTTATTTTTTGTTCTTATTATTTGTGTTTGATTTGAGATCAGTAGCTACTGCTGCTTTCCTGTCTATAGCAAACTTCTCTTGCTGCATGGCTTCCTTTAAAACTGGGCTTTTGTGACCCCCTCATCTGGGAGATTTTGCTATTACTGAGCCCCAGTGTAAGTGTGCTTTTTTGTGTCCTAGTGGCACTGTTACAAGCGGGGCTTCTAGAATCTTCCTTTTGTTTGATAGTTGGAGTTATTTATTTTTTTGGATGATTGATATGGTTCATGGCAGCTCCTCCCAAGACTCTTCCTTTGGCTACCCCTGGATATGGTTTGTGGGTGGGTCAGTCTTTTGGGGTCTGTGCATGCTGTGGTTTTGGGGTGGGTAGTAGATACTGCCAACTCCAATGTCACCCACAGATTCCATCTGCAATGATGACCTTTATATGTGCTTTATCTAAGTTGTCTTTCTCATCTGCCCCTGTTTTATGTGTATTTCCTCTACTTCCCCCACTTCCCTTTGGACTCAGGGGATTTTTACATCTCGGCCTCCTCATGTAGTCTACCGGGTTTTGCAGAGTCCTCTCGGAGTGAAACCATCTTGTCACAGGTATTTCTCAGCCTCCAACCCACAAATATACATCAAATGCTTCTACAAAGCAAAAGGGTATTTTGATATGGTTCCAGAAGTCCACTAGGTTTTCATGCTTTCTGGAGATCCCAGACCATTATTGTTTATGTGCTACTGTCAGGACATCTAAGAGACATTCCCATTACAATTGTGGCTTAATATGCTTCAGAATCCCGGCAAATTCCGTTCTTTATGTATTTATTTCAACTTATTTACTCAAATTTACAAGGCACTCTTTTACTTTGTGGTGACTCAAACATCATTATTTCACCCTTCACATGACAGACATTCCTTGCCAACCCCTTCTTTTTTCTCACACACAGACTCCTCTGCACAAGCTTTTCCAAAACGAATCTGACAACATTCCATGGTAGATTACTGGAGAGAAGTCCAACCTACTAGACAGGACTACGCTAATTTCTCTCATCCCCATACCAGCTTTTCAAGGACTAATTATATTCTCATTCCCCAAGTGCTAATCCCACAATTGGCATCTTGTAATATCATGCCAGTCGCATGGTCAGACCATGATGCTGTCATTGCTTCTTTTCATCCTCAGTTGTGTAAACCTCAAGAATTTCACTGGTCTCTAAACAACTCTCTACTTAGTGACGCAGCTATTGTGGAGCAGCTACAATTATGCTTATCAAACTATTTTGCCATTAACTATTCTTCGGTTTCTTGCTCGGCCTCCCTCTGGAATGCCTATAATTGTTATATGTGGGAGACTCATCAAACTTGCCACACTAAAAAAGCAAGACAAGAACACCTGAAAAAGTTGGAAGCTAGTTTTAGCTCCTTATCTAGTCAATTTAAATCTAACCCTACCCCTCAACTGACAAAATAATATGATGTGGCTCAACTATAATTGAATCTTTGGCTCACGAATGTGGTGGAAAGTTAAAAAACAGGTTTTTTTTTTGAGGGCAATAAGCCCAACATTCTCTTAGCAAACAGACTTCACAGAGTGTACACCCTAATCAAGCTAACTGTTTAAATATATTTGGTATATTCCACACATGTGATGAAATAAAGACTGCATTAGTATTATTATTCATGATTTATATCTAATGTATTCTCGATCTACCCACTTTAGTGAGCCATCAGCCTCCTTATTTTTAAATGACCTCCCTTTTCCCCTTATCCCAGATACCCTTAGGCAAGCCCTTGAGACCCCAATTTCATCATTAAAAGTACAAATCCTGGCCCAGATGGCTTTTCAGCCATATATTATAAAAAGTACTCAGGCACCCATGGTACTCAGACACCCACTCAATGGTCCCATTTCTTACTAACTTGTTCAATGATCTACTGCAAGGTGAACACTTTGGCCCTGATATGTTGACAGCAGCGATATCTATGATACCAAAACCACATATTTCACCCTCTCTGTTATATGTAGATGTTAAAATCCTTAGTAAAGTGCTAGGCAATAGATTAGCCTTAGGCATTACAGATATAATTCATAAGGACTAGATAGGCTTTATGTCTGGTATGCAACCAACTGATAGCATCATTGATTTCCTTATCTCATTCATATTGCCAGCCACAACAAAATTCCTAGTGTACTACTCAGTCGTGAATTACACAAGGCCTTCAATACTGTAGGATAGCCCTATGTTTTTGCATGCTGGATAAATGGGGCTTCAGACCCCACTTTATCTCATGGATATGGGTGATTTGCGGGGATTTGTAAGCTTATGTTCAATATGGATATGTTAATATCAATATGGTTTTGCTCTCCCAAATATCTTATCCTAGAAGGTACACAACAAGGTTGCCCTATGTCCCCAATTTTAATTTGATGGAATCCTGATATTCCCAGTGTAGAAGTTGTGGTTTACAAACGCAAATTTAGTTTGTGTGCTGACGGCAGCCCTCTTTAAAATGAACCTTTTAAAAACCCTGCCCAGTATGGTAACTCTTTGACCAAATTTGAAACAAAATAAGTCCAAGGCCCTGAATATCAGCTTGCCACCTATGCTGGCCTCATCCCCATGATCCACCTTTGCTTTTAAATTGATCGGCCGAAGCTACGGCCAGATCCTTCGGCAGCTTTGTGAATAGACCCCTAAGTGTATAGATTACCTGGGGATTTAATTGACTTCATCTTACAACACTTTGTATACAGCTAATGTACCTACCCTATTTAGATTTACGGAGCTTTTTTGGGAATCCTGGAAATGTTATCAGATTTCATGACTAGGTAGAATTGCTATGATAAAGATGACTATCTTACAAAAATCCCTGTACCCCTTAGGCTACTTCCCATTTGGATCTCCTCCCATATTTTATGTATTTTGCAGCACCATTTCTTACAATTTATTTGTGATAACGCAAGATCATTCATTCCCAAGAAGCTCCTTTTTTAACCCGAGTGTAATGATGGCCTTTTGGTACCCCAGATCACCTGTTCTGACGATGCAACACAAGTTTCTCCCTTACTGTCTTATCGCAGAACCCTGAGTACCCTTTGTGGGTTAGTCTAGAAGGGACAGAAATAACTCCTTTGGCTTATGAAGAAGCATATTGTATACGTTTTGCAAAATACGAGAACCCTGGATAACCAACTTCATGTCCCAGGAGGAAGATCAAATGCTATGATTGCCTTGCATGTAGCTTCCTGTCAGGATGCTGTGGTTGAAACATCCCGGGTTCTCTTTTCCTATTCCCTTCTCTCCCCTCCCCATCCATGCTTTCTGCTCTTTTTGACCCACTTCTCCCCTCACTTTTCTCTTGCACTCTTCTCTATACCTTTTCTTTGCTAGGATATCTCTATCTGTTCTGGTCTCTTTCTTTGCTTCTTTTGTCCTCCCGTTGTCAATTTATTATGTGTGGGGATGGAATATACCATTAGGATTCTGTTAGTGGACTGGTTCCATTTCTTTGCTTTTTCAACCAGAAACAAATCATTTGACACTTTGATTGTTCTGTTTAAAATACAGTGCACTATTTTATATACCTTGAAGTCCATGTGTTGTGATTGTATTGTATTATATTTTGTTCTTGTCTTCCCAATCTCTTTAATGAAAATTATTCCGACTAAAAATGGGCTTTT